GAGCGTTTTCTCGCTGTTTCGATTCCTATGGTCTTAAAATGGTTAATCACTGAAACACAGAAAACGTGTATTTGGGGAGGGAGTATTAATTCATTTTTAATGGTTTTCCCCAGAGCCTTAAAGAGCATGTGGTCCCACCACACTTTCATTTTTCGTACTTCTCTGTTCACTTTCTTAAAAGTCACTCCCCACATACATCTTAGTAATAGCCAAATAAGAAATAAGACTTCTTTTGGGGTTGGGATTTTTCAATTATATACATTTTTTGAATACCCAGTGAGCTCATTGGTTGGCTTGTCCCTGCAGTCTGGGGAAAATCCTGATTTTTGTGGATGGGAAGTGCTCCTTTCCAATGGGTGCTCAGAAAGAGAAGAAGACTGCTGTGACTTGTGTCCCTGCCTTGCTCTTGCTCAAGTCTAGCAGCAGAACTTGCAGTTGTTCCATCCGCTCCACGATCAGCTCTAAAAGGGCAATGTGAAGGCAAAGTCCCTGCTGGCAGAGTGGAGTACGTGTTGGACTCGGAGCAGGAGTCACCATGTCCTGGCAGTAGATACCGTGAGAATCTTCATAGATGAATGTGTGGGAGCTGACAATTCAATCACGCTGTCTGGTTTTACACGGGGATATCCCTCTGAGTGAAATGTGCTGTTTTGCAAGATGAGTATTTACAATTACTTTGAAGCTGGTTTTAAAAATAGTTCTTTTAATCTAATCATTGTTCTGCAGCTGTATTATTAGTCACTGTGCTGAAGATATGAATTTGATAACAGTTTTGCTGAGTGTATGTTTATTTTTTACAAGATTTTTTTTATAATGTAGAGTTAGATGTATTCTGATGGACTTTTTGCATCCATTGTATTTTTTGACATCAGCATTCCTTTTGTACTTTTTCAATGTGACTGTGCCAGCCAATATCCATGGTGTTTCATCTGTTTCCAAGAAGCAAGGTTGGGACATAGAGATCTGAGTGAAGTGCCAAGGGATACTGACTTCCAATTCTGCCTCAGACCTGGGCTCTTTCTTTTACCTTAGGTCAGACACTTACTTTCTCCCTGATTTTTAAGGTAGAAAAAAGGAAATTACGTTAATTTTTCTGATAGGAATATGTCTGAAGAGGGATAAATTAGCCTGCAAAGTGCTTTGATATCTAAAGTACTATATGCTGCTTATCTTTGGGGGATGAGTAAGGGAAATTATTTTGCCAACATGTTCAATATTATGTGCGTAGTTATAAAATAGTTTTAAGATCTTTTCCAGTGGCCATTTTTCTCATGATAAGGCACATATTAGTTAGCAGGGTAGATGTGTGTTCTTCTCCCTAATAAATACCCGTTGTCACAGCACAACAAAAAAAAAAAAATCCTTCTTTTGAGTGACTTCTGAGGTTGCAGTTTCACAAACGGTTTAACCCAATCATCTGAGGACTGCCTTTTGGGCAATAGTCTAGACTTGGTCTGGTTTAAGCCAGTTTCCTATTTCATTTAGTGTAAACTGTTAAATAATTCCATGTCTCATGCTGAAGAGGGCTGCATTTTCATGGGGAAAGCAACTGAGTTATAGGTACATCCCGACTGGTGAAAATGCTCCTCATGGTTCAACAGCAATGAATAAGATTGCACATAGTAAAATGTAACTTTGTCATTTGCACAGGAAGCACCTCAGATTGCTGTATATATGTCGTGCAACACCACCGGTTTCTTTCTCACACCACTACTGAATCCTTGAAAATACTCTTCAGAGTTTACTCTCCCACTCTTCACTTACCGCCAGGCAGGGCTTCAGCCACCTACCATTGCTTCCCAGATAAGGTGAGCAATCAACCACTGAGCCTCCGAAAAGTTCAACATGAGCAATACTGCCAGGTTTTTGAAAGGAAAAACAGAGCTTTTCACAGCATCTGCCCTAGAAGGCACCGTTTTCCCACCACAGCTCGGGCAGAATTATGTTTTCAAGACAAGGCTGAACTGAAAGCAGTTCCTTGTACTGCCTGGAGTTAATGAGTGATAACGTTGTTACAGCTCTGCTGTTGAACGATCATGTTGTTGAATCTCACCCAGTCATTTATTAAAACAATGTGTTTTTATGAGTACCATTTATCTGGTCTGTAATGCTCACAAAACATTTCACAAGTGTGTACCTACTCTTAATTATGGCTTGGGAGCAGGGATGGAGGGAGCTAGCCCCACACGGTGCTGGGATCTCCTGGGCCAGGATCAGCCTCTTTCATGCTGGCAGGCGCTCGCCTCCCTTTGAGCCCGGGACGGAAGAGGCGGGAGCCTGCAGCGCTACCCAGGGAGTGAGCAGCCTTCCCCTTGGACCAAACCGCAGCGGCATTGCAGTGGGAGGTAGGAGACCCGGTTTGGCAGCACCCTCTCATCTAACGAACGCATACCACACGCGGGCTTGGGCACATCTGGCCCGCGAGGTCTGTGAGCTCAAAGGGCTTTGCAAATCACCTGATAGGAAAAAGGGAAACAAAACCCGTTGCTAATTGTTGTTAGCCTGACTTATTCTGCTCCTCGTTCACTTGATTTTTGGTATGAAACAAATTTCTGTTTAGATCTTTCTCTGAAATGCGCTCTAGCCACCTGATTCTTCTGATTCACTTTGTCTATTGATTAATTATATCCAGGCAACATGCAACACAGATGAGGCTTAGGAGACTGGTTAGGTTTCAACATTAAGAAGCAAGACTTTTGTGTTTAAAAGCTTCTTGAAATTTCTGTTTCCTTTGAAATTCTTTTTGAAATTCTTTGAATTTCAATAAATTTTTCATGTACACAGTTGTTAAAGGGGTCTCAGCTGCTGTACTGGTGTACTGTGCTTCACTGCTCTCACAAGGCCAAAGCTTGTTCCTTAGGCTATAAACACACAGATGCTAATACTGCGCAGATCTAGAAAGTGAAGGGCGAGTTCTGTTTATTTAATAGAAACAAGTTCAGAGAAGTCCTTAAATTCCAGGGGTTGGGAGCTCCGGTTTTATTAGGCTTGAATCTATCACTTTTTAGATCTGTAAATCAAAAAGATGTGATGAAACCTGTCACCAGCATGTAGCTGTTCCTTCCACTCAGAGCTGCTGAGCTGGTCACGATGGCTGTGGTTAGCAGAACACCAACCAGGTTCTTAGAGGAGTGCTGATACACTCTGGGATTTGAAGCTAGTGTAGTCTGCCCTTCTAACTGCTGAAAAATGATATCAGTCTTCAGCTTTGGTGCATAGATGAATGATATGGTCCAAAGAAGCATGCCCTTTGAGCTGGGGGGCTGTAGGGTACCTTCCTTGTCTGCCCTGCAAGCTCCCGGTAAGCATTCAGGGGAGGGTAGCAGCCCACATTTGCCCTGGTAAAGGCAGAAATGATTCCCACGGAATTCCCTAGGCGTCTGCACAAACGTGTCCGGAGGCAGCGAGTGCAGACCTTGGCGCTCGCAACGCAACGCGTTAAGAAACGCCGTCCTTTTCGGCTTGGTGTTACTGCAAGCAGTAATAGTGAAACCAGGCTTTGGCAGAAGTGCAGAGGAGCAAGAAGCCCTGAAGTGTGAGCTCGTGGTGGCCTCGGCTGGGTGTTGCGACACAACAGTGGAAAATACTCGTGGCTGCGTTTGCAGCTGGGTTCCCCCGGGATCATCTGTAGGTGATGCCCGGCGCCTTCCAACGACGCCAGACTCCTGCAGGCACGCAGGCTGTGCTCGCCTGCCCATCCTGCGGCCCGAGCCCCGGGCTGCGCGCGGGCAGCCCCGGGCCGAGCAGCGCTGGCGTTCAGGCAGCCAATGTGGACGCGCTGGGGAGGGGGAGCC